ATTTTCTCTTTTCAGTTGTATATTTATAAATATATTTATTTTATTTGCAGAAGATTACATTAGTGCATACTTTACTAATACATATTGCGGTTTTATAAAATAATCTGAAAATCTAAAACCGATTTTGATCGTATTTGTTTGCATGACCGTCTACTACTTTGGTATTATAGAGTCGTTATCTGTTATATTTATATTCAGTAGCCAATCAAGATAACAGACGAGCGTGTTTTTTAAAGAAAGTGCTTCTGCATATAACATCTTTTAATCCAAATTTATTTTAAAAATCTTAACATCAGAAATGTAAGGATTGATTACAGAGGCTTCTTTCCCCGTCTCCGTTTTCTTCACAGAGAACCTTCGTCTCACCCAGCACAATCTCAACTGTCACAATCTCCAACTAGAGCTATCTCAACAAACACAATTCACTTAAATGAGTGTAAATGTCCATTTTTGAAATAACAGAGTTAAAATCGAGAATTTACAACATCAGTTTACGTCTCTGGCCTCATACAAGCATTGTGACATACAATAGCATAGAAAATGAAGTGCCTTTTTCTGTACATCAACAGCATATATTTTTAAAATTTCCGATGTAAGGAATGGATGCAAATAGAAGAATACTTTGTGCATAGTAAGACATAACAACACAATGATGCACTACACCAATGGCATGCAACTTTGAGCATTTTGAAATAGTCCATGACTTTTGCATAGATTGACTGAAGAATTTTGACAAAACTTTTTTTTATTCATTTCTGCTTGATGCTTGCAATTATATGTAGAACTATCTCACTCATCCCACCAAACACATCCCACTGTCTGCCCTGAAGAAATGAATTAAAAAAATTCAATGATTTTCTGTCCATTTAAAAAGAAGATTGCAAGGGCAGAATTTTGAGCATTATCATAAAATACTGATGTTCGCAAGCAGTTCTTTTTGGCAAGCACTTCATTTATGTCAATCTGACACCTCAGTCATTTTGTTTTCAATATATATCAATCAACACAGGAAACCAGCCTCATTCAATCACATCAGCCGAACTAATACAGCTCCTCCCGAAAACCAATCAACATTCAGGATGCAAATTTCTTGACAAATTGACTCCACCCATCCCATCACTTCCTTTCAACAAGCCCCTCCTCAACAAGCACACTGTCAATTGTTAGATCCACCCCTTCCTGGCTAGTGTCAATCAATCTGATAGCCACCCTATCAGAATCCTTGTCATTACATATCAGTCCCACCAGATCCTTCTCATTGGCCAGTTCTATAAACCTGTCCTTGGCTGCTTTTGACCAGTCCCTCCCACCAAGAGGCTGAACACCTAAAATATATTAATTATGGTCAGATAAAAGAAACTGTATTCCATCTCAAAAGAGAACAGCTGGCGCTGACCATCATTCAAGCAGATTAAGTGAGGGAGAATCATTCAAGAGCGCAAAAAAAAAAAAAAAAAAAAAAAAAAAAAAAAAAAAAAAACTTCATAAAGTTTTTGCCCATCTACCTTTCTCTAAAGAACAATCAAACGATATTAATATCTGCTTTAAAACATTACATTAACTAAGACAAAGCTCATAAAATCTGCTTAAAATCTACATGCGCCTTTATCAAACTAGCTTGATAGCTTCACTTTGACAATTTACAATCACATGTACCTAAAATAGTCATATCTTAAGTTCTTACCAACAACTTTGCTTTGGTAACTTGAAAAGGCATGCACTTAAAATGGCACGTACATATTTCTGTTAGTGTTTACCTGCTAATTTTGCCTTGACAGCTTGGAATGGCATGTATCTAAAGTGGGCTGGAAGTGGCTGTAAGTCTTCTGGTGACATAATACTGAAGTCTCCATAATCAACAAAATACACAGATACCTTGGATATAAAATATATATATTGATAAATTAACGAAAAGAAGTGATAAGACAGACATTCAGAGAGGTGATATAAACTCATTTTTATTGCCATTTACTTAAATGACAATTTTAGTAACATTATTGTTTTATATCAAATATTTATCCCACACCCACAAACACAGAGATTCTCAAGATTTAAACTAGTCAGGCGGTTAAGTCCAAATTATATCCAGAATTGTGCAAAAGTTGATAAAAGCATGAAACTTTCCACGATGAATGACCCTTAGGTGTTTGTCAATTTTGGATCGGGGGGCAACTCCAAAATTCACAAGTACCCGGATGAGACGCTTTCTTAAATATGCTGACTCAGCATTTTACGTACATTTAGATTTCATCAAAACGAGCACTAGCAGTACTAATTATGATATCATAAATAGATTTAAAAAATGTACGCTCACTGTGCACATCTTTGAGAGCAATGATGACGTCACGATGACGTCACTGGGTGATATTGCACAATTTAGAATGACAAATATCCACTTTCTCCAACAGGAACAATAGTCGAACTCTGCAATGTTTTTTCCGTAATTTTTTATTACAGAAGTGCATCCTTTAGGGTTAGAAAGGTAAAATTAGCTTGATTGCAACTTCCGAGACATTGAGCATTTTCAATATGGCCGTCAATTTTTGAGGAAAAACAGAAAAACAACCAGAAGTCGACGGATGTACTTTATTTGTGGCTGTTGTGAATGTGTTTCATGTCGGAAGAACACAGTTGGGCACAAGACTACATCCTAGCACGTCGTTGTTACTGAAAAAAAATCAAAATGGCCGCCAAAACATAGGGTAGAGGCAGAGGGTAAAGTAAATC